CAGAGAAGGATTGGGACTGCTGAAATAGAGATCAAACACAAGTGCATACCCATCCAGTATATTTATTGCTGCTTCCTCCAACTCTGTTGAGCCCTTCTGCAGTGGGACTAGAAGCTCCTCGAACCATGTATTAGCTAAACAGTAAAGTGAAAGTTCCCGGTAGTTTTTATAACAAGTTACGACTGGTAGTACGGTAGGAATTTGAACTCACAACCAGTTCCGCGTAAAAATCCTTAACCGGTTTCAAAATATTTATCGGAATAACGTTATACCAGAAGGTAAAGTGTGTCGACTGTGACCGTCCTGCCTCTAAATAGGAGTCTAAAGCAATGATGGGGAAGCGAATTTAGGAAACAATCTGAATGTTTTTTTACGCAGGTATTACTAAAGCCGTGGTCACTGCTTCCGTGAATAGCGCGCTCTAAGCCTTTAGCTGTGGCGCAGCCGCACGCCCTTGACGGCAGTTTTATAGCATCTGCTGTTTCCTTGGGGAAAATGACACGATGGCCAATCCATAACCGACGTCTTAGTTGTTTTTGTGACTCGTAAGGATATGTTATTGAATTTTTTGTTCTGCTATAGCTAGAAATAGGCTAACGCTACTCTCAGATTTTAGTTTTTGTTGTCTACTCTTTTCGGATCATTTCATTAGAGTATTACAAATGTGAACAGAGTTCTGGAGGTGAATGGGAACCTTGTCAAACTTCCTTAAAACTTTTCTTTCTCCCATAAAAAATGACCAGAATCTATATCAGAAATTTAGCGTGGAACGTGGCTTATCTGGGTGCTTTTTATAAGGGGGTTTACTCGCCACAGTTCCCTTGTATTTCTGCAATATCAATACGGCGCTATTTTCATATAAGACCATTGTTGTCGCCCGAATTCTGTTAGCTATGTAAGCTCGACCAGTTAGGTTAACGAGAAGAAATGGGATTAATTGTGATGTTATTTCAGAAACATTTATTTGAAGATTTTATGACTGAAGAAAATCTTCGGGAAGGAAATTTACTTTCACAGAAGATCGTATTACTTTCACTATATTTTTGAGGCATCGTCGTTCAATTCACTAAATTGCTAGAACACAAGTTCTGCCTATTTGTTATCCTTTACGTGGGAATGATAAAGTAATATCAAAACTTCCACGTTGTAATCATTCGTAGCATTACGTGTTCAAACTGTGCTGGTTGTTCTCCCTTGTCCAAACTGCGCCTCTCACTTTTCAATTACGGAATTTTCTGGCGCCCTAGATCCCTTAACGATGGACGTCATTTCTTCTAGGTTTTCTCAAGTCTAGGACATGTTTTTGATCCTTGCTTCCGACAGATTTGTGACAGAGAACGACCTGTTTTCTTATAGCACGTCATTTTTGAATGGCTTGGCTTGTTTTAATTGTTCCCTTTCAGTTTGTCAGCTTTCGAACTGATAATTTTTCTTCTGCCCATATAGTGAAATGGGAGGGGTACGAGGTACGTTTTAATTTTTTCTACTCAGTGCGTGTTGAAGTTGATTATAGATCCTCGGGAAACTAACCCATTGAGGCGGGGATTACCTCCGCACTGTTAGCCGGGATTTCTTCCGTTTCGCCACCTCGTCGCCAGTGGTATGATTTCAGCGGTTCCTAAAGCAATCGAATTGCTTAGTTTGAAGGGAGTTCCATGTTATACACAGTAGGCAGGTTCAGCCGAGCGTTTACTGTGCACAGAAGACCTTCGGATTTTTTGGAAACGTTAAAATTATAAGACCTTTTGCGATTCTGCTAGTGAGCATGAGTTTCAAAGAACAGATGAATTCGTTAAATGATTAGATGGACATCGACGAAGTCGCGTTTGTGGAAAATACGCGAAAGCGATTAAGTACCTAAAATATATTCAAGCAACATGACTAAGCCTTTTTGTTTTTTTTCACTCCCCCACTTCCTATGACTCATCGACCCTCAGCACCGTGTTGGAAGTGTTGTAAACCAATTGCTTTTAATTGGGATTGACCAGCTTTATGATCCAGGCCAGATCTGGGCATAATAGCGACGTTGTGATATAATAAGATTCTTACATTAGCATGTGAAAAACAGACCGCTTCAAAGTGAATGTTGGCTGTGCAAATATGTTGTGATGGATAAAATTGTTTGATAGCATGCTGAGTCTACAATGATTTTTCATTCTCATGAAAGTTGTTTTAGCGGTTGCTGCTCTTGCCTTCGCTGGAGTTTTAGGCCTGACGCTACTCGTTCTTGGATGTGCGCTACCGATGTTCGGGTATATTACTCCTTTTTATTCTCTTGTACTTTATGTTTCTTCATCAGTGACAGTGACACTCTTTTTATCCTCTATTCTCTCTTTCCTATATAAGCTCCTGTGTTTCCAGGAATTGGTCACCTATGTTTGTTATTGCTTTCTATATATTTGCACCAGTACCGCTTTTAATTGCTCGACGTTTTCAGGAAGACATGACTGGTAAGTTCGCAGTCTTATTCAATCTATACCGGCTCTTACATGCCTTATTAAGGTACGAATGCATGCGTTGAATTAGCATTATTTATCACAACTGCTATTGTGGTTTCCGCTTTCGCTCTTCCTACTGTTCTCGCTCATGCTGGCACGGTGGGTTATTTACGATTCAGTGAATGGTTAGCTCCAGGTGCTTTCCTAAGATTTGGAAGCGCTAAAATCACGGCATATTCATTTAATCTACTCCTTAGGCTAGATTTAGTTTTGACGAAGCGGCAAGGCGCTTCCCCTGTTCCATATGGGATAAGGTTGAATAGGGATGTAAGAGGATGAAATTAGTAAGGAAAAAATGGATGTAAGAAATCACTTATGATCGATGCCGGTTTTTTTTTTCTTAGTCGCAGGGCCTGATTGTGAGTAAAAAGTCAGGGTAAATGTGGTGTCTGATATTAAGCGCAGTTAGTAGTGTCACTTCAATCAAAAAACAGGAACTAGATTTTATTTATGTTCCAAGTATTCTGTTAAATTGTAATCAAAATCATCTATTCTGAATTGTAACAAGGTTGGTAATGAGAGTGCTGTGCGAATTTACTTCTTCTAACACAGAATTTGTGAGTAGAACACCGCTTAGAAGGCGACTTCCTTGTTGTGAACTTTTGAATGTGAACACCCCGGCTCTTTAGTGAGATGATGCTTTTTCCATTCAGTTGGAGGTTACTTTAACCTATGACAATTGATCTAAAAAGCAAGTGCAACAATTGAAGTTAGTTCAGTAGTTTGGATGCTCAAAACCGCTCTAGTTTTAACGCCTTAAAGATTCTTTCTTTCGATTTCCCCAAATGATTCTTAAGTTCTTAGATGACACATGCTAATAATACGGTTTTTATCATAAGAGTTCTGAACTTATGCACTGCATCTTATACGTGTTGTGTTGTAGATTAAAGTGACTGCAATGCTGTTGGCCAACACAGGATCTGTTGTGATGTTTCTTACTATTCTCGCTTACTTCTATCTTCATCGCGACGAAGATTCTGGCAGTTGGAGCCAATCCCTGTTCTGATTGTGATCTGTTGTGCAAATGTGGTGCAGTTTTCAGTGATTTTGCGATTTTGTAGGTTAGTTCTACATCGTGCATTTTCGGTTATTGAGGAAATTAGACTACTAAACCATCAAAAAGTTTGCTTTTTAAGTTGGAAATTAAGTACTTAGAAAATGATCCCATTAATGCATGTTTTACCTTCATCGAAGAAGAGGGAAAAACTTTTAAATACTTCGCATCAGCATGGCCAGACTGCTAAACAAGCACTAAGCTGCTAACAGGTGGTCCTGATAGCAGTTTAGCGCTATTTTTAGTCTTCTCAAACTCTACGCAACGCTCCAATAGACCTAGTCATGGTAGATTTCCAACGTGAAATCGACGAACGTTTCCATGTGTAGCATGCCGCTAGATTATGTTGCTTTGGCCTTCGGATCACATTCTGTGATCATGAAGAGTCTTCGAATCGGCCTCATATCCGAAGATTGTTTGAGAATGAAAAATGGATGAATGAGCTGTAGAATGAAACAATGGAAGAGCTGGGTTCTTTCATCCCAAAGCCCAGGGCACTATTTTTAATCCATATCCTTTGTTAATTTCGGATTTTGACGGACAAAACTGCTCAAAGGCGATTAAAGCAACCTGTGAGTTTAGTTTTGCTCCGGTAGCCTCACCTTTCCTCAAATCATGACTGTTTGAGAGAATATATCTTCTTTTTTTTTNTTTTTTTTTAGTTTACTGATAATTTTCGTGCTTTTCTAGATTGCCGGGTCGTCGATGGTGTTGATATACATGGCAAATGGTGTAATATTCGCTGCAATTCTCGCTTACTTCAGACTTTTCGCAGGCGAAGACATGAATGACCTATCTTTATGGTGAACCAGACTTTTGCGAATTTCATTCTGTAAGATATAATTCTTTATATTCTCTTGACATTCTCCAATTACAGTGGTACATGTAATTTTAGCTGATTGATCAACTTAATTTCTCATTTGTACATTAATGATGATGAAATAAATTTTGAAGAAACGAACATCTTAAAAACAGGGTAAAACAACGAAATAGACCATGACCGTGGCTGACTGACTATGATGGATTCTGTTCTGTTCTCAGGAAACTCTTCAAAGACGCTAAAGTTCCTAAGAAACGCTTCCAAATTAATGAAAATGAATAAGAAGTTCGAACAATGATGTGCATCTTCCGCTTGTGCTCATGATCGGAAGAACTATTCCTTCAGCACTTTAAGTACTCATATTGTGGAGTGTTACCAATAATGTTTATAAATAAGCAGAATTGATCAGTACACTAAAGGAGTTTGGTTAGAATGACTTTGGTGAATTTAAGTGCGGTCTTTTGAGCTTTTGGACGAGTCCTGAAAGAGTGAAAATGGTGAATGAGAAGTGTTTGGTCGAAGGGCGATGGCAAATTTTCCTTTAATTTCTTATGCAAGCGAGAAAAATCACACTTTTCCAGTAAAACAAGTTTTTCTATAGTAGTAATGAAATGCGACGTAGTACTTGGGGTGAACCTCAAGAGCGAAGACTTTGGATTGGTGTCCGGGCAATGCTAATGCTTCACTCGCCAAGACTTGTAGATCATTCCACATGCTTAAAGGCTATTCGTTCGTACTTATGGGTATATATGTGAGAGGGAGGGGGCCCGGGGGACCATATTTAATAAGCCACAAAGGCGCTACTATAGGGGCTTTGAACGACCCTCCAATGGGTAAGGACTTACTGTTGGCATAGCTGCTCCACAGACTCCGTCCGTGTCCTGCCGCGACGCGCTCCGCAACGCAGGCGACGGCTGACACGACGCTGCAAATCAAATGCGGTTTTTTCTATTGCACTCACGTCCACTGTGTTATTGCTGCATGCGGCAGTGGTGTTCGTTGACTTTACTCGAATGCACTTTGCTCGTCCTCTCTACTAGTACAATAAGTCCTTTTTATTTGGTTGAAAAACCATTATGGTTCATTTCGGATTCTGCTCGACATCGTGGAGCTGATCGATTGCGCCAAAATGTGGCTGTTCCATCCAGGACATCGCATTCATTCATTTCTACCAAATTTTGCTGCTTTTCCTCGCTATCGAACGAAATCTTACCCTTCTGAAGGTTCAGTAATAGTTCTAGGCGTTCTTATTTGGGTTTATACTACTTGAATACCCCTTAGAGCTGTAGGTTTCCGTCGATTAATCTAACAAAGTCCCTAAATGACCTTCGCGGGAAGTTTCATGGCTTGAACTTTTTATATTCCATAGGCAGACACTACGCTCAAAGAGTGCATACTGCTTTTTTAGCAATTCCCTCGCAGATTCTTCGAGGAATCGGTCGTTCTTTGTAGCTTTCCGTGATATTTGCCTTAATAACCCTGACTACCCAAGTTTTTTGTGCTTGTAGTTCCATCTCAAGTTTTTTATACTCGTAGATTCATCCTAAAGATGTTCTTATTAATAGTTTTTATTATCAGACAAATCCTGTCGAAGAAAAAGCATCTCTGCTAGCAGTGATCTATAGCCTCTAGTGCCAATGTTGTTTGCAAACAACTTACTTCTTTTACTTTTTAAGTTAGCAACGGGAACCGCGTTGTACGCCTTACGCCTGCTTTTGAATAAAAGAACAAATCTACACGATTTTACACTCGCACTTTTCTATGTAGCCGTGTAATCATTAACCGAGCAGATGCGCTCGATACATTGTAATAAGATGGAATATGGTGTAATTGTAAATAAGGGGGCATTTTGGTAAGGTCTGTTAATGAACAAAACTTACATTGATACCGGCAGTTTTGATGGAGGTGGCTTGATTATCGACGCTTTGCAGAAAATTATCTCTGTTCTTTGTTTTCTCTATAATCTCCTTGGGATATTTGCACATCGACCACTTTATCGTCATTGTTTTGCTATTTGACTCGACGTTTCTTTGCNTATAATCTCCTTGGGATATTTGCACATCGACCACTTTATCGTCATTGTTTTGCTATTTGACTCGACGTTTCTTTGCCCGATTGCTTCTTTGAGTATCACACGCGACATTCAAGGTCGAGTAACACGAAGCCTTCTTTGTATCAACAATTTGTTGTCATAGCCTGAGCTAGTGGAGTTCTGCGGTGTTTACTGTTCGCACCATATCTGAATAATCCCCGGAGTGCCGTGGACATGTAGTGATTGAATGGGCCCGCGAAAAGGATTACGTACGGATCTTCCGGGCGGCATCGTCTCTTTTACGTTCTATTTGCAGAATGAGCGAAACGCTTGCTAATGCGTCGTGGTAGGACCCCGTTTATTAAGTCCAGAGCTAAAAAAGCATAATCAATTTGCATTTTGCCAATTTTCCCGAATTCTGCTGTGTTTCGATTCTCCGATGAGTATGGGTCCAGCTAAATTCATCGATTCTCCGATTTTCCTCGTAGATGCCTATCTAATCTCTTTTGTCGAATCTCCGGTTCTCTGATTAAACTTTGTCTCACGAGTGTGCGCGGAACAAGAGGGAGCAAATAACAGGGAGTTCACGTAAAAGAAAGTGATGTTTACATGCTGATNATATGGATAGTTATGGCTGGAGGTCTATGGAGTACAGACATCCATTCTTGACAGACAACAAAACTTTTCAGGATTTTCTAAGAAACTTCTGGTATTTTGTGTGGGGTATGGGATTCTGCATACAAGTGTTAGCAATNCATGAGGTGGTGTGAAGTTGAACTCTTAAAGTGCGGATCTTCTTCACATTCACTCCCTTACTGCGAGACGTTCCCTTCTCGCCACCTCCTTACCTAATTGATTCTTTCATTTTTTGCACGAGCGAGAGTGGACAGGACTAGGGGAGGGTAGTGATGTGCTAGTATGCAGCTTCACCGCTGCTTAGCGCATGTCGTCTTCCTCTAATATTCGCAGCCAACATCCACTTTTTCTTTAACTCATTTTCTGCCGAAAATTGCTCAATAACGCTTCACATGGTACTCATAACTCTGTTCCCTAATACTGACCATCCGTTTCAGTCCATATCCATGTGTGTAGTGAAATTGGCAAGTCCACTTCTACAATAGAGCGGAGTGGTTTTGCCTTGCATGTGTGCTTTTATGTTTGTTCGATAAATGGGTGCACATTGAGTGCCGCACAACCGCCCTTGTAATCCTTCTTCGCTACAGTCAACCCGGCGTAGGTTCATGGTTTCAGAGTTTTTATTTCTTCGACTGACTCCGAAAAATCGGCGCCACCACCACTACCGTGATCTTGCATGAACAATATTTGTAGAGCCCTACATAATTGATTTCAGTGATTTCTTTTCTTTGGTTTCTTTGAAAGCAATGAATTCCACTACGTTCGAAGTGTGTCCCAATGCGGATGTTCTTAGCACGTACCCCTGGTACCCCATTAAGTTCACAGTCTCCTTCCAATGGTGGATAGCTAGGTCTGCAGAACTGTGAGAGACGGGCAGTAGGAACGATCCACCGCACGCGGCTGTCGCGGACCATTTGCCTCGTTTGTAACAGTTTTGGCGTTCATCATAGAGCACATTCGCTATGCGATTATAACTTATGGCATGATCCTACTGCTAGTTCTTTTACTCCTGAACTTCCTACTTGCTGCTACATTTTGCTATATTCCTCGCGCGCGGCGTCTCTCGCCGCGACGCGACAATTCCGTTCCTACTGCTCCACACCCGCAAAACTGTCGACCTCTGAATGCGCTCTTGATTTTTTTTCGAAAACACAATCACCTGTTTTCCCGGTGCCGAGTTTCTTTTGTTTGCTTCGTAAACTACACGAAAGCACAACATTGAGTGGGCTGTGCGGAATAATCATTGGTCTGTCATTAACTACCTCGATGTTTACCCATTCCACCTCTCTTCCGCACTATTATTTGCCATACCTTGTAAAGTTTTCTTTTTGTTGTTTGCACAGCAACGCTGGTTCTCATATTAATTTCCAGTTTATCTTCCTATTTTTTTTTTCATAGATTTTGCTTGAATTTACTTGATTATTCTCTATACTGCACCCCGGCAGTTTATTGACATATCGAGTG